CGAATCGTCGCGGTGACGGGAACCGAGTCCACAAAGGTGCGTGCAGATTCCATTCAGAGTGCAATCCAACAGCAGTTGCCACCAACTTGTAAGTGCGTGCATTCTAGTGAGGTTATAATAACAATATAATTTTATATTGCGTCATGCTAATTGCATCATTGCATTTGAGAATGTTGTACATTAATTATATATAAGGTTACAATCAACAAATCGTTCAGTTCAACAATACGGCAGTCGCATGGCCCAGCGGTAGCGCGTCCACAACTTGTTGAAAAGGTTCAAATAGGGTAGGCCACCGCGGTTAATAATACTTGTGTTTTAGCTGTAAAATACATTGCAGAATTTGCTCTGTCAAAGATCCCATGATGACATTTGAAGGTTTGGCGATTGTGTGCCGGCGTCATGGTTAAAATAAAAAAAATTACTCACTAGAAAAACTCAGCAATTGTCACCCCCGACTACAAACGCTTAGAAGGACCCTCTCTGAAAAAAGTAACGAGACTCATTGAGTCTTTCTTGAGTTAACGGTTCAAATAGCTGTAAAGTAATGGTGTTCATGCAGGCGACACGCAAGGCTGACGCCATCCAGGAAGCCGTGGCGGCGTTGGCTGAGAAGGTGAAGGTCGAAACCGCCCCCAACAAGGATCTCCAGAAGGAGATTGCTGACCTAGTGGAGGTGAGTTTTGGATTGGCAGACTCACTTGGGAAGATGGTCTGTGGCTAAGTTGTTCATGAATTCATTTACATGTCTGCTACATCTGAAATACTTTCTCCACTAGGTCCTGGGCCCTGCCACTATTCCTCAGTGGCGCAAGGACAAGCTGCGCGAGAATATGACAGCACTCAAGAGGACAATGGATGACCTGGACCGCGCCAGCAAAGCCGACCTCCAGAAGAAGGTGCCTGGCCTCTTTTCTCAGCACCACCACTCTCTCCACTACTTTTGTTAGCGTGCGGTGACACGGCCCAGTGGTAGCACGTTCGACATTTGTTGCAGAGGTTCCCTGTTGGAATCTAGCAGGATGCCCTGGTTAATACTTTGTGTATTAACCATAACATATGCTACAGCTGCTTCACGGTGGACGTTGAAGATCCTGTCACGTTATTTTAAGCCATTGGTTGCGAAAGTCATTGTCCAAATTAGATAATATGCTAATGCTCCAGATAACTCTTGCAAGTGAAACTGATCTGGTCTCTTGTGTTCTCACCTTGTTAAATAAACTAAACTTGAAAGCTACTGCGACATTACTGCAGACAATGTAAACATAGCTCCCTTCATGAAAGCCTTACGCTTTAGGAATGACGCAGATATTAAATGTACAAATAATTTGCTTTGGCTGGCTGTACGATGAGGAACCCTGCCATAGAAATGCACTTGTCTCTATTATGCTCAAGTCATCTGTGCTACAGGTGCCTGAGAGAATCTGTAGTGTGGATCAGAATTCCTGCTAAATAGACAGTGGCCAGAAACAAATTCCTGCGGAGGGAGCTGGTAGGAACGTTGGGTTGCTCGGTCAATGGCCAGGGTCAACGGCGGCGTGGTGTATTCTGCAAATATGGCCGACTGTGAGGGCGGGCACAAGCCGGCGTGAGTAGGTTAAACGTTGAGTTTTATTAGGGCACCACGGGGTAACCAGCCCCTCCCCACCCAGCCCCTCCCCACCCAGCCCCACCCCTCCCACCCCCCACCCAGCCCCACCCTCCTCACCCAGCCCCTCCCCACCCAGCCCCTCCCAACCCTCCCCACTCAGCCCCTCCCCACCCTCTCCACCCAGCCCCACCCCTGCCATTTTTGGATGCACGATGGACGGACACAATAATCCCCTGTGGGCTGGTGTAACTAGGAGGTTCCTACCGGTATAATATTGTGCTCTGCTGAGGTGGCTGCTGATAGGGTTGCCCTCTGCATTCCAGGTGTTGGAGAAAACCAAGCAGCTTATCGAAAACAGCCCCAACAAGCCACTGGTCATCATGGAGATGGATAATGGTGCATCTGCTAAGGTATAGTGCTAATCAGAGCTCTTGGGCAGACTTTGGAAGTGGAGAATTTGATCAATTCAAGACTTATGTGTCACAGAAAATAGCGGTTGTATGATAAGTGCCTCTAAGCATAACATTGCTTCATTATTTTACGTGCCAATGCAGTAGTATTGTTAAATTGCTCTGTCTGCCTAGGCCCTGAATGAAGCCCTCAAGTTGTTCAAGAGTCTCTCTCCTCAAACCTCCACCATGCTGTTTGCTGTGGATAATGACGCTGGAAAAGTCACCTGCCTGTGTCAGGTCGCGGAGGTCAGTTTAGTTTGTAGTCTCCTCACGATGTGCCTTATGTTCCTACTTTGAAGAGTGATGGATTTTGGGCAGAGAAATGAACAGATGTTAAGCGAGTGTACAACACACGCAGTGTGGCTCTGTTAAACTGGCGTATGCGTGTGTGCAGGAGGCAGTGCACAGCGGTCTGAAGGCGAGTGCATGGGTGCAGCACGTCACGCCGCTGCTGGGAGGCCGCGGGGGTGGCAAGGATGTGTCGGCCCAGGCCAGCGGCACAAACACCACAAGCATCCCCGAGGCCATCAGCCTGGCACAGGAGTTTGCACGACTCAAGCTGGGCGAGGGCGTGTAACACATGTGGCAAGCGACGTACAGATTTAAACCGCTAATGCACAAATCCCGGTTGCGTAAACGGGGCACCAGTATTGCACATTTGTCCTTTCCACCACGCACAGGCCAGAGGTACTTTAACTTTTCAGTAACAAGCAGAAGATCCTTGCGCTCCACAGCCACTGCACCAATGTTGTTCATGCAGAACTCGCACACTCGGCCATTCCACTCAGTGCTCGCCCTCGATGCCTGATGACGTTCATTTTTATAATAATCAAATGTTACGCTCATATTCTGTATTGCTGCTGTTAATTTTTGGTAATTGTAGGTCTTATTTCTAGTTGACATAATTGACATTACATTGAAAACAGATTAGAAAATGTGCAGTCAATTTTTTCTTTAAAAGTTTATGAACACAATATTGTGCATTCTCCTAAGCATGGCATTGGCAGATTTAGTTTAAAGGACGTCACCATTAACCAGTGCATAATTTGTTGAGTTGATCATTCCCTGTGCTTGGTGGTGCTTTTGCAATTGGACAGGGATTTAAAATGTCTGCATGAATGTTTGAAAGAGGTTCCATCGTGGTGTGAAGACCTTGACATGGATGGAAACATTTTCACTTGCAAGTGCAAACTATAAACTTCCTGTAGTCCCACAACGCCGTTTACGAGCAATGCAAAAATGCTCAACTGTTAAGTTTATAACGATCTGTTGTGTGAATCTACATTGGCGTTTAAATCTGAGAAAGGCCGTTGACATGGAGTGACCAACCTTGTGTGATGCGCTTGAACATGAAATACGGGTTCAGCGACTTGCATAGAAAGTACTAAATTGTACACTGAAAACTTGCTCATCCTGCCCGATGTGTCATCACTTGAATATGTTAGGATGTAATTAGTTTATGAAATGCAATTTTGAATGTAAATGTGAAGTTTGAAAGCTGAAAGTCTCTGATGCATCTACATGCAGCTCCCAGCCCATCGCACGAGTTTCCATCAGCGTGACAGGACCTGAGCGCCTTGGTTTAAATGACCCCTTTGATTGAAACGTCTGCTCGAAGCCTTTCATCTTCCCCACTGACGGTGAACCCTGCTGCAGGTATTGGCTTTGGATAAATAACCGCAAGAGCTGCATGTAAACTGCAATGCAAAGGCCCTTTGGGAATGTCGGGATAAATGTTCAAACGGTGCCTGTGGGGCCTTCTAATGAAACTTCTCAAATGAAACGCTGCTGATGTGTGTTGTCCCTTTACAACTGACGTGCCGATGGCCAACTCGCCCGGAGAGTGGGAGGTGAGACGATGGGAAGTGATGGAGAGAAAATACAGGGAGATGAGGTAATTGGCGGAATGAGGACTTGTGAGGTAGCGATGGCAGATGCGTATATCGAGGCAAGAGTGAGAGTGTTGATGAGTTAACTAAACTTGTTTTAATTACCAAGTAAGGCCCACTGAGCTATATAGCTCGTTTTCAGAAGCGACGTGGCTCCAAATGATAGCGCAACGGAATGGCTGATGTGGAAGTGAGCCAAATACCCGGAGAAAAATCCACGCGACCACGGGGAGAACTTGCAAACCCAAATATACAGCGTCAGGACCGGGATCGAACCCACGGCCTGTATACGAGGCGAGGTAGTTAACATATTGCCACCATTCATGGGATACGAGATTGTAAAAAAACTAGAGTGAGATGAGACGGGGAGACAGTGAATTTGTGTAAATATGTGCTGATGTACAAGAATGGGAAAACGTTGGTGATTTCGGTGATGAAATACGATGTGGATATGTAGTGTCTACATGCAGCAGCGTCTTAAGAACCTGTACAGAAACTGCGCAAATCTGTGGAAGCTGTAAAGCATCGGCCGAGGTCACATTTTGACCCTGACCTTGTATGGGGGCAGGGATATTCGACAGCACGGAGGGATGAGGCAAGGAGTTAACGATTATTGGGGTAGCAGAGAGCGAGCAACCTGCCGCTGAGCAAAGCCTGACTGGGGACTTCTATAGAGCCTTGGTTTCTGGAGCAGAGTGGAGGGGAAGAGTGAGATGAGAGGAGCATGCATGGACGGGGGTAACGCTGAAAGGGGATAGTGTTTGGAGGGGAGCGATAGAGGGGCGGGGTCCCCACTTTTGACGGTAAGAGATTGTGACTGGAGAAATGTGATACGATGGGAAGGGGGAGGTGATCTGTCAGTGTACGTGGCTGGTTCCGAGGGCTCGCGATCGTCACAATTCACACCATCGTCTGTGAATTCAGTCGGGTCCCCCAACTCGTTCCCACCATCAATCGCCCTTCATGCTCCCGCCCAGTTGGGGCCATCGTCACGCGGCGGCTGCTGCTGCTGCTGCACGTGCCAGGGAGGAGGGGGTGGGGCCGGGGCACGTCACGTGGCCCCGCGCCCCCCGCGCGTGCCCCGCCCCCCCGCGCGTGCCCCGTGTTGTAGCGGAGCGCGCGCGTCTCGCGCCGTTAATTGAGGCGGCGGCGGCAGCGATCAGCGGGAGGAGCCCCCAGACCCCCCCGCGAGGACCCCCCAGACCGCGGACCCCCTCGCCCCGGGTGCCAGGGGGGATGTTCTCGGTTCGCGGGGGCCCCGAGCGGCCTGAGGGCGCCGCGGCCCGAGCTCCCGTGCCTCCGCTGCGAACCCCGGCGCCGCAGCCGCCGCCGCAGCCGCAGCAGCACCACCCGAGCCCGGCCACCGCCGCCGCCTCCTCCTCCTCCGGCGAGGATGCAGCAGCCAGAGCAGCGGCGGTGAGACACGCGGAGACACGAGGCACGCTGGGATGGAGAGAGACACTGAAATATTGCAGAGAAGTCGATAGGCGGAGAGCCCCGCTGAGGCGCGGGGAGATGCGTAGTGAGATCGAGACCCACGGACTGACGCGCAGATCGCGACACGTCGACACACACACACGCAGACACACACAGACAGATGCAGACACACACAGACAGACACTGACATGCAGACACACACACGCATGGACAGACACAGACATGCAGACACAGACATGCAAACAGACACACAGATGCATGGACAGTTATTCACATTGACATGCATACACACACGTGTACATACACACACGTGTACATTGACACAATTGCGCACGCCATAGACGATCCAGATACACACGATCGCAACCACAGACATCGGCACATCATACATAGACTCATGCACACCCATAGAGACCCGAATTGTGCACGAGCACAGCCATTATATCAATCGTGGGGGTTATTTGACCATACTTTATGCTGTTCAGTGCATGGCGAAGGCAGGGAGCATCAACCCATACACCCCTCACGTAAACCCACACATAGACCCACACATAGACCCATAGACACCCAACATAGACCCATACATAGACCCACACATAGACCCATAGACACCCAACATAGACCCACATATAGACCCATAGACACCCACACATAGACCCACACATAGACCCATACACACCCATAGACCCACACATAGACCCACACATAGACCCATAGACACCCAACATAGACCCACACATAGACCCATACACCCCTCACATAGACCCACACATAGACCTATACACACCCACACATAAACCCCTACACCCCCATAGACCCACACATAGACCCATATACACCCAACATAGACCCATACATAGACCCACACATAGACCCATAGACACCCAACATAGACCCATACATAGACCCACACATAGACCCATAGACACCCAACATAGACCCACACATAGACCCACACATAGACCCACTCATAGACCCCCATACACCCCTCACATAGACCCACACATAGACCCATACACACACACACACCCACATACACACCCACACACACCCACACACACAGATCCACACAGATCCACACCCACACACACACCCACATACACCCACACACACAGCCACACACACACCCACTCACACACACACACCCAAACACAGACCCCCACACCCAGACACACTCAGACACCCACTCACACACACCCAGACACAGACCCCACACCCAGACACACCCAGACACCCACTCACGCACACACCCAGACACCCACTCACACACACACCCAGACACCACCAGACACCCACACACCCAAACACCCACTCACATACACCCAGACACACCCAGACACCCACTCACACACACCCAGACACACACTCACACACCCACTCACACACACCCAGACACCCACACACCCAGACACTCACACACACCCAGACACACCCAGACACCCACTCACGCACACAGCCGCGCGCCTGCAGATGCGCGCAGCTGTGGAGCCGCCCCGAGGCCTGGTGCTCGCACTGCCTCCGTGCTTGAGGGTGGCGGTGATGTCATGACGCTGTTGTTGTGGTGATCGTAGTTCGGAGTGCGCTGCTCTTGCGGTGTGAATGATGCACTTGTGGTGGTGTGTTGAGCGTGGTGATGTCATGGTGAGGACATTGCTGTTGTGATGTCATCGTGAGCGTGGTGAGCATGCACAGCGCAGAAGAGCATGTGGTGAGGGTGTGATGACGGTAGGGGTGAGCAAAGTCGCGTTGTCGTGAGTGCCAATAGCCATGGGGGTGCTGTTTAGGTGACGTGGTTGGTCATGGTGATGTCATTGCGAACATGGACCATTCCTGGTTAGCGTCTTGCTGTTTTGGTGAATATTCTGAACATGCTGCACTGGATAGCATGGTAAAACTCTGGTGCTATAGTTATTCTGAGTGGTGATGTCATATGAGCACGGTGCTGTTGTGGTGAGCATTGTATTCTTGTGGTGAGAATATATAGTGTGCTGAATGTGCCAAGTGTGGTCACGGAGAGAGCGGTGATTGTCGTGGGTGAGCATGCTACGTGCGGTGCTAGTTGGGGGTTTTGCCGGCAGTCTCTAATTTAGTTTCGGCGGTAGCGTATTGAGGAGGACGAGTTTGTGGTGTGAGATGAAAGGCATATGGTGACAGCTCAGACTCCTGCTCGCATGCCTCGACGAGGAGCCTGCTCCAGTCGCGAGGCACATGCGTGTGCAAACAGAGTATGCAGCAGGAGGAGGGGACAGCTTTCTCACCTCCAGAACACCACCGCCATCACCACTGCTCATGTGCAGCTGGTGCATGAGGAGGCATACTTGTGCCCCGTGTGCAGTGGCAAAGTCGACTTTCCTCGGCTTTTGGTAATTACGCCTCATACGGTTGGGGTGCTCTTCTAAGACATAAAAGACACCGACCTATAAGGGGTTTCCATGTGACACCATGACAGAAGTGCTGCAGAAAGGCGTCCTCGCACGTACGGCCATCGCCCCATGTTGGATTGGAGGCCCACATCACAAGGAACGCGTTTTTGTTCCTGCAGACGAAGTCGATGGAGGGCTACGTGGGCTTCGCCAACCTCCCCAACCAGATCTACAGGAAGGCCGCCAAACGTGGCTTTGAGTTCACACTCATGGTTGTAGGTAAGCTTTCCATCTCTCTCATGTGGTGAATTTATACCGTTCATTTTACATTCATTTGCAATTAACTGAATAGAGCAAACTAAACAATAAACACTAATTTGACAATCTGTGGCTAAAACATCTATTGCTCAGTGTCCACAATAGCAAGGTTTCTCCAAGCTTACAATTGTCACATTCACACACACACACGTACAGTTATACGTTCACTTACGAATGTGCACAGTGCCAACACGGGTTAAGTGTCCGATGTGGGTTTAGTGTGCGGTTGTTGTGCCGGTCGTTTACGTGCAATGCCACCGAGTAGCAGCAGACGAGACTAAAATGCCAACGCTTTCCTGTTCAGCGTCTGCCCTGAGCCGGTGTTGTGACTGCATGAGTCGGTGTACTGTGACATGCCCAGGGATGTGGCACACTGAGGTTATAATGAATAGCAAGGGCCCTGCTCACTGATCTTGAGCAAGGTCACGGGAGAGTGCAATTTGTCAGCAAGGATGTGGACAGATTTGCAAAGTAGCGAGCACATGGCGATGCTAAGATGCACACTATGCGTGCTATTTGTGTCGGCTGCACTCTGCCTGGTTTCATTGAATTGTGCTGAATGAAGCAAGTCAAATTCCACACTCCCTTGAGAAAAGCAACGTGGCTAGCAGCAGATGCACAGCGCAACGCCGGTGTGGTGGCAGAAATGCATCGCGTAACCCCAGCGATGCTGAGCCGCCATGTGGCTGTTTTCAAGTTTGTCCCACTTGCAGATTGTGTAGTTTCTGCCTTCATTCAACTCGTTTATCTTGAGCCAATTCATCACAGGAATTTCCTTTTATTTCATTCAAATAAAACTTAGAGAAAAACAACCGTCTTACAAAAAAAAATCGATGCCATATTTGTTAACGTGTTTTATTTTAACATTGTTTGATAATTGTCAAGAACGTGATTTTATTTACCACAGACTGTATATGTTTCAAAATCAAACAATATTAAAATGAAACATGGCAACACATATCACACCGTAGATTGTTGCACTTTTAAATTTCTTTGTATGACGTTATTGCTCATAGTTCTATTTTGTTGGGTTTTATGTTTGTTTCATTGTTGTACTTGTTTTATATTACTGCTTTTGTTTTGGCGACCCAGGTTGCTCTTGCACACGAGACTATCCTGGGCTCTTGAGTTCTCACCTGGTTAAACAAAGTAAACTTGACACTACAACTGCAGTCATTTTGTGCAGATCACAAAGGGATATTGCTTCTTGGTGCAGTGGAGGCAATGTGTACACAGTGATACAATATTTCACATTTGTTTTGCACATGTGCGTGGCGTACGGCGAGTTATGCATGTCATCTGACCCAACAGTCTCTGCAGTATTCACAACTGCATTCCTGTTAACGCATGGCAATAAACGGCACGTCAGCCTCATCCAGGACACAGGAAGTCTGGGGAACATGATTTTAATCAATCAGATGTGTTCTGTTATTAGGTGCAAATGCAATAAAGTTCTCGTCTGTGCTACTGTGACTGCAATTCAATGTGTGATGATTTGTACCCGACTCGGCTGTGGCCGTGGCTCACGGTCGCTGGTTCCATGAGGCCATTAACAGAGCCCCAGTGCCTCATCATTTTTGTAGCCGTCAATGATACCATTAATAAATTAAACCCATTATCAAGTCCAAGGAAGGTCTGCGTCGATGTCTTTATGTCTTTAAAAAGGGGAGGCAACTTAACACTGCCATCTGGCTCTCCTTTTGTGTGTGTGCGCTTGTGCATGCGCGTGTGCATTGATGCCTCCTGCCCTGGGCCCAGGGGAAATGGGGCTCGCCTACCGTGCGTTTGCTCTCGTGCGTTGATTTGGCTGTAGCCACAAAGCGCATGTGCCTGTGTGTGAACAAGTAGGCCCATAACAATTCATCAACTAAAATGGATCCTTACAACTTTGATAAAGTTGAACACGTAAAAATCTGTTCTCCTGGGGCTGATTAAGGAAATAAAACCTGAACCCAAATTGTGGCAAATCATAAAATCAGCATTGTTTGTGTCCTCAGAAATAAGTCTAACGCAGCACCTGGAGGAGATTACTGTGGATCAGAAGCAGTTGGTGGTGGTGGAGATGTTGGGAGACATCCTTTGATGGAAGGAGGAGCGCGGTGTCGTTTTATTTCCATTAATTAATTAAATAGATTTTTGACAAGTTTAGAAACCGTCACTGATTTGTTGCTCAAATGAGCTTTGAGGCGTTGCTCATCTGTTTACAGCTCTAAGCCAGTGGTGTAAATTCAACATTTCTATGGCGGGGGCAAGTCTATCTATAGGACTATCACTGTTGACTTCCCCAAAAAGTGGCACTCATTTTTTTTACCCCAAAGGGACGATGGGCTGAGTCACACCCAACCAGGATTTGAACTCAGCCCTCCGATTGTGAGCCTCTCGCTCTACCACTCAGCCACCCTGCTGGTTATTGGAGACTAATTTCTCCCGTTTCTCTACAGGAGAGTCGGGAGTTGGGAAATCTACACTCATCAACTCCATGTTCAAGACGGATCTGTATTCTGAAGAGTTTCCAGGACCAACCAAGCGGATACAGAAAACCGTAAAGGTGAGCCCTCCACATCCAGCCCCAGAGAATCGCCATAGCCTCCTTCCATTGGCGATATCCTCACAGAACCCTTTCTATTCAAAGCAAATGATGCTTAGACTGCAATCTGCTTATTCTCGGAAGTGTGAGTGAAAATGGAAAGAGTTTCAGAATGGTAAGGGTTTTCCATTCTGGTGGTTTTAGCCATGTATCCGCCTGGACCATGGAAATATGCACTCTTCTGCCATGTTTAACGGTGCTGCTACTGCCATGACTAATAATGCATAACATGATTTTTTTGAACGTATGTTTAGAACAGCGGTGTGTGTAGTAAAGTAAGCTCTCAGGGTGTGTGTGTGGTGTACACATGTATAGAACGGTGCGTGGTGTACACAATTCTAGAGCTATGCGGAGTGTACACACAGAGCTGTGTGGTGTACACATCTAGAGCTGTGTGTGGTGTACACAGAGCTGTGATTAGTGTACACATCTAGAGCTGTGCGTGGTGTACACAGAGCTGTGATTAATGTACACATCTCTAGAGCTGTGCGTGGTGTACACATCTAGAGCTGTGCGTGGTGTACACAGAGTTCTGATTAGTGTACACATCTAGAGCTGTGCGTGGTGTACACAGAGCTGTGATTAGTGTACACATCTAGAGCTGTGTGTGGTGTACACAGAGCTGTGATTAGTGTACACATCTCTAGAGCTGTGTGTGGTGTACACATAGAGCTGTGATTAGTGTACACATCTCTAGAGCTGTGCGTGGTCTACGTCTCGAGAGCTGTTTCCTGGTGTACACAACTCTAGAGCTGTATGGTGTACACGTCTAGAGAGACGTATGTGGTGTACACATTTCTAGAGCTGTGTGGTGTATTCAGCTGTACGGCATAGAGATGTGTATATTGTTTGAGTAACCCAATAATTCCTGGCATGTTTTCTCCATATTAGGGCAGCCAGTGCCATAATGCCTTTTCTCATGGGATTTTTGAAGTTTTTTTCCACCGGTGGAAACTTTACTGAGAAATCCCACTGCATAGCTCACGGACATTCGCTGGATATTGGAAGCAGAGTTCCCATGCCTCCTGCTAATCCAGGTAGCTCACATCGATTTCCCTGTGTGGTCCATTGGCTGTTGCAGTCACCACTCCGCCAATTGACAAGGTTTAGTATTTCATATCCTGACTCCACATGGCAATGCTGCAGAGTAGTAACACAGTATCCTCTCCCCCCCTGTGCTTGTGGTCAACATTAAATACCCTGCTCCATCGTTCTCAAGACAGGTCCGTTTGTGTCACTTGATGGGCTTAATTCGAGATTTTAGTAACTTGCAGACAAATAATAGAACTGCATTGAGGTTGTTGTCCTTGTAGTTTTCTGGGAAATCCTTGAAAAATAATTATTGTATCTTAGTCATCGATATGTCCTGTTTATAGATGTGCAAGAAGCATGCATCCTTGCTGATTAGCTTAGCGGTTGTCATCTCCTGTAAACTCTGGAGAAACATGGTGGCTGCAAAAAGAGTACCCCTTCCATTTCTAATCAAGAAGATCAAGTGATCCGCACACCTCTCCACCATGAACTGAAACTCACAACACCAAGGGCGGTGACATAGCCCAGCAGTCATGGGTTTGCCACTCGTTTTAGAGGTTCGCGGTTTCGAAGACAGCGGCTGCCCTGACTCTTGCTGCCGGTGTAATAACTGCAGGAATAAAGGTTCACAGTAGACGTAAAATATTCCTTAACGTAATTCACAAGAGTAGAACATCATGTTTCATCGTCGGGGTCCAACATTATAAAATTACCCGGATATTACCCATTTTGGCTTGTATATAGCAATTATCGCCCTCTGCTGGGGACTAATGCCTATTTATTAGCCAGGTGCTGAGTGATATTGTGTCCATATGGGCAGCTGCCACTGGGGGTCCCCCTTCATGTGTTTGATTTGTGATGTAGAGCGCTTGGAGATGCCCGGGCATATAGGGCACTATATCAAAAACAATGATCAGCAACAGCACTGAAAACTATGGAAACACTGAAAACTAGGGAAAAAACAAGGTTACTAAGGCCACAATACACAGAGAAATCACATGTATATGCCTCCAGCCAACATGGTGTTAGTAAAGAGTGGTGAAAATGGGCCTGAAAGCCCAAAAACGCCGTTATGGGAGTGAAAATTTGAACCCGACTTTTCTGGAAGGAATAAAGGATTTGGGTTTTTTTTGACTCGCAGATAGACCCTGAGGCTAACATGGAGACCCTCAGACATGCACAAAAATCCGCAGATGGAGCGAATCTCATCCTCTTCAGATCTGGTGGGGGTGGGGGGAATCATTTCTGAGTTCCCCTAGTAAGTTCTTGCCATTTCTAGCCCTGTTACTAAGGCATCTGTTTCACGTTGTGTCGTAGCGTGTTTAGTCACTGTAACACAGTGGTGGCATTGCCCCCGCACATTTGATATTTCTCCTGTACAGTATCCATGCCACAGCCTGCGCGTCCCCTTGAGAGACCAAAGGGGTGGTGGGTTGAAAACCACTAACTTTATGGTGCCAGCTCATTGCTCTGACATGGTATTGGGGCCTGCCAGCCACCTCACCCTTATTTACTTCTAGTAAAGCTCAACTTTAGAGATGTGTCTAGGTCAAGAAAGTCTGCAGTAAATTGTAAAGCAGAGTTGTGTTGAGAGCAGGCCACAGTTGATCTTGCTTGAGAGAAGCTTTTCATTTGGTTCCATTTCTGAGGGTCAGATGCTGTCCATTATTCTGTCCCCAAGGTATTGCACAAACCAAATGCCCCATAGGCATATAGGCATATAGCTGTTCACAGTTGACCATTCGCCTGCTGTGGACCATCTGGTGGGGTAATTTAATACTCGCGTAATGAACCTTGTTGGGAATCGTATTACAGAATACGTTGATGTGTGGAGCAGCAAGATTGCCAGCCTTGCCCCATGTGTACGCATGCATGTGACCGCCCGTGTGTGCAGCTTGGTGCCTTTCTTCGTTGACTAGAACCTGCCTGCTCATGCTGTGACATTTAAACAAAATGAAACTCCGCATATCAGTGGCCCTATTTGCTAATTTGTATATCTGCAGGGTTAGACCAATCCACAGTTATTCCTATTATGTATGTATTGCCAAACCTCTTACCTCCAAGTTTGTGGCTAAGAACAAGAAGTCCAATACGAAGTAGATCCTATTTACTGCACTTAATATATTTAAACGAATGGAGTAGGCTACCCACAGATGTGACTGAGAGTGCTGATGCCATGTTAGGTTTGATGTGTGCTGTAACCCAACACTTTTGCTGGGCTTGTAGCAGTCATGTTGACAGTTTTGAAAGTAATGCTCTAAATCCAATGTCAGGCTCAATTTTACACTTGGCAAAGCTTGTGGTGTTACAGCGAGATTGGGGTTAGAGTGTGGATCCATGTGATGTTCATCAGTATACGTTCTGGAGGGTTTCTGTTTTTACAATGCACGATTTGTAGTGTTAATAGACCCTTAATGCAATAGGCAAAGCTGTCGCACCGTATCCATATTGCAGAGCGATGTGTGTGTTGTGAGGAGAACTGGGCTGAAGGATTGAGGTTACTGACTGTCGTGATCTATGTTGAATGCTGGGACAGCCATCGATGGTCACATTGTCATTAGAGTTGGCAGGCAGGGAGCAGGAGTGGTCGTGTGTTCCGGCAGCAGCCACCGTCACACGCTACTGGAACCAGCATGGCCACGGCATTATCCAGCCCACTGTATGAACAGATTGTTTTAAAGGGCTCCCTCGATCTGAGTAATCTCCTCATGAGGGCCCCAGGCTGCTGGGCATGGGAGTTGTTTTTTTGTCAGATTATCGCCATACATACACACAGTTGCCTATCACAGGCCCAGATGCCCAAAATGCCAAGCAGTCAGAAACAATAAGCACTTGTTATACGTCTATTAGTTAAGCATTAATGCGTTGTTTTCGATTGAGCTAGGTGATATAATAACTTTGGAAAATAAATAATTCTAGGGAAATCCAAAATAGAGCAGTGCAAAGTCGAAGCATAACAATCGTGCAGCATTCATCTTCGATGCTGCTAATTGTGGAAAGTCTCTCTGTTTGTGTTCATGAGGTTCCTGCTGCACCTGCCACTCCAGTCTAAATAAAGATTCTGATTTTGAAGGGGAGTTTTGCATTTGAAAGGATACTGGAGTACCCAGAGAACATCCACATGATGGTATATAAAGCGATAATCCCTCAAAGTGCTGCGCATATGGGTTGACGAACCTATTTGCTGTACTAGCATTTATTGGCCAGCTCGCAGCTTTAGCAGATTTTGGAGTTTGACGAATCTAATTAATCTAGCAATCTAGCAATCCAAAGTGTTTGCTTTGATGTTCATTTGAGCTGAAAAGACTGTTGACTTTTATGTCATGGGGTTTGTGTTTTATAAATGTGATGCTTGATCCTTTAGCGTTGTGGTGCATTTGTCCTGCATCCCGTAAGAGGGATCATGATAATGTTTTTCTGCCCCAGTGTTGGCTATACACGCTTGGGCAACAAGTCACCGTGGGCGTGTGGCATGCGATGCGTCCATACGGACGTGTCGTAGCAGTTGTGGAAGTGCTGTGTGACGCATCTACAGGTTGAGCAGTCCAAGGTGGTGATCAGAGAGGAGGGTGTGCACCTCACCCTCACCATTGTGGACACACCTGGATACGGAGACTTCATCAACAACAGTGAATGGTAGAGAACTCCTCCCGCAGCACACTCACCCTCGCTGTCTGGGTGAGGGACACAGCCTGGCAGTTGATTGCAGAGGTTCACGGTGCTAATCTGGGTGCATTAACCATAAAATATGTACCCGATGATACTTCACAGTGGGCGTTAAAGATCCCGTGATGTCGTTCAGAGAATAGTCAGCTATTGTGTGGGGGGGGCGTCACAGTCAACATTTAAAAAAATTACGGGCAAATTACTTAATTGGGAAACACATAGAAATTGTCGCCCCATAATGTGAAACTTAGCAGGAGCCTCCTGACCCTGCAGTGAGGCTTTTCTGGGTAAAAAACAATAATGCTAATGATCCCAAGCGCTAGACCCCCCCCCCCCCCCCCCCCCGTACACTTGACCGTCATGGCTGCTTTACGCTGTCTCTGTACTTTTTCTGTTATTCTTTGTGAGTGGAATGCAAATTATGATTTGTGAAGGATATGTCCATTCACTTGTCTCCAACTGAATGCGTATCTCTTCAGACTTTCCTTTGACATTGACGTGTGATATATGACACTCATAGGCTTGCTTAGTGATAAAGCACATTCAACTCTTGATATGATGAAAGTACATTGCACAAAGCCATGGTGTTAATTTAAAAAGGGACTTTTTGGCTGTTCACAATTCAAATATTATTTGGTTTAACCAGTTGAGAATTCATGAGACACAAGTTTCATTTATGAGAGTTCCCTTTTTTGATCTCGGGGAAAGACCACACCTGTAATCTACACACAGTTTTCTATTTGTAAGATATATTTTGTTCGTGAACAGTGATGGATATAAATATTTTTACTGGTTGGTTATAGAACCAGCTTAATGATTTATCATTTGACTAATTGATGAATTAATGCATTGAGCTGTGACTGTCTCCAATTAGTGTGCAGCCCGTGATTGATCACATCGACAGCCAGTTTGAGGACTACCTGAACGCGGAGTCGCGTGTAAACAGGCGCCCGATGCCAGACAGCCGAGTGCACGTGTGCCTCTACTTCATCGCTCCCTCCGGCCACGGGTACGCATCCACACACACACATGCACACACTGCCTTCTCACGTATTTGTGTGAGCAAATGCAATGCATTTATACAGCGATCCGTGCATTATTTGATGAAAACGATTAATCAATGCTTTGGTTTTGTTTCGTGTAGCATTTATAATTGGCCAAACATGTCAGTGGAGTTACGTAAATGTAGCTCCAATGTGGGGATGTCACGATGTTATGATTGTCCTGCTGTTCGTGTTAATGGAATGAACGCAGAGTAAACAAAAGTGATAAACGTAGACCGACTCTGGTTTTAGAATGAGATCTCCACATTGGCTCACAAATGAGCCGCTACTTGGCATCTCTGCTAAGACTGTTTATCTTGACTGCACGCACACTATATGTTATTTCACGTTCTTTAAACTCTATGTTTTGTGCATGAGCACACCACAAACATTTCATTTATGAAATCATTTTGGTATTAAATATTTTAAATATTCTCTAAATGGAAATCTTGTTTAAAATTTTAATTTCACTTAACATTTTCACTTAATGGTTGAGTTGCAGTTGTTGAAATATGCATTGCATCGTTGGCACTGGATTTCCATTCAACTCTCAGGAACCTAAATTTGAAATTAGTAATTCTGTCTCAGTGGGTATGCGTTTTATTGGCGTGTGATGCTTTAGATCGTGTATGAGAGGGAGAGAGGTGTTGGGGGAACGAGTGAGGTGAAGTGATGCAGAGCCACAGAGGGCGGTGAATCAGGATTGAGATGCAGTGTTGTTGATGTTTGGGAAGCTGCTCTACATTCGAGTGTCTCAGCTGGCTTCATTTCTTCTAGCACTGTTCAAAGATTTGGCCTCTTTGGAAATGAAGGCAGCTGTTTAAATAAAAGGGAATCACCCTCGGATTAAATAAAACCCTAGGCGTAAGAAAATGGCTGCTGGAATTTTGAACGCGTTTGTTTTAATTGGTATAAATTCCAGTACAGTTAACACATGCGGAGAGTGTTGACAAAAAAGTGTTTACCAAAGTGTTGAAACTTATTTCAGCTTGGTGTTTTGCTGGGATGGATGGGTAAGCAGTGAGCAATACACTCTCTGGCATCCAGAGACGAACAGAGACAGGGATGAGAGGATATTTATTTAATTCCATGCTTGAGTAACATTTACAAACGCATTTAAACCAGAGGCTGCACTAAAGTGTGGCCTCCAACAATACACAAATGTGAAAACACCCCATCGTCCTGAGAAACCCAGTGGTTTCAAACGTGCAGTGGCCCTTGCACTGATGTCTTATTGGTGAAAGTGGCCCACCTCTGAAAATTTGTGAAGAACACCAATTTAAACGTTTGCTTTCGTGATATCCACATTGACAAGAAGTTACAAATGTCACGGGAGAGAAGTGCTCTGATGAGTAAGTGGTGATTATATTCCTCTACCAAATGTGGATGTTGTCAGGCGCTAAGTTTCAGTGTACTGTATTTTGTTTAAGCACGTGAGCCTCCAGAGACCAGGATAGAGTCTCGTGTCCAAACAGTGACCTGGGTCACCAAGATGACAACACGGCAACAACAACATAGCTACGTGTGGGATGGGCCAGTCCCCTCGTCCTGTTGTGTAGTGTGCTTCTCAATGCGTACATGTGGTTATAAACAGCAGCGGTGAGCCTGCACGTCATTTGCTGTGTCTCTCATATCCCGACAGGCTGAAGGCACTGGACATTGAGTTCATGAAACGCCTCCACAACAAGGTGAACATTGTTCCCCTGGTGGCAAAGGCCGACGCATTCTTGCCCACAGAGTGCTGCGCCTTCAAGAAGCAGGTGGGTAACCGTACTGCACACTCAATGCACCTGCGTCATCAATAGCGCTGCTCAATCCACTGCTGGATAAACGCCTCGAAAAGCCCCAACACCTGTCACGGTCTTGCAATGCAATGATTCATCCAGCACCGGCACACAAACCGAGCTCATTGCTCCACCTCTTTGGTGGACGTTCTTTCGGACGTGTTTCTTTCCTAGGCTGCCACTCCGTGATTATTCTCGACTATCAACAGTCATCCCAAGTAGCGACGTGTCCTCGCCAACCCCACTCATCGTAACCTCACCTCACAACATTATATAGATGATGACGCTTCTTCCCAAGCTGTGTATTCTTTCGTTTCGCATTTTAAAAACAAATGGCAAAGCATTGTGTGTGTTTAGTCTGGTCATCGATGCGCTCTGTGCCTCCGGTGTTAGCGTCCAACAGACATTGGCCGCTTGTGTGATGAGCAGATTGCACTTCACATTCACAATGGGGCGACTTTCATTTTAAAGCGTCGGATCTTCGTTTAGTTCCTTGACAAACGTCTGGAATATACCATGTGCCCGAGTAAGAGACTTGTACCCCTGGTGCCACAATGCAGAAGAGTGACGTACTTGTGTTGAACAGATAATGAAGGACATCCACGATAACAACATCAAGATTTACCAGTTCACGGACACGCATGATGAAGAGGACAACAAGCTCCTGAATAAAGTCAAGGTAGGAATCTGAGGGCCCTCACCCAACACATCTCATCAACTCCTCACCCAGTTATGTTTCACCTCTAACGCATATTTATGTTACAGACATCTTATTATATTTCAATGTTATTGCTGTTGTCTTGCACAGCATTGTGAGATGCAGTTTTGCATGCACAACGCCATATAAAAATTTATTATTATTCAGCGTGCCGAGATCAAATTGTGAATGGAATAAAAGCTCGTCACGTAAGGTAGTGTTCATGACCAATAGGGACACGTGTAATGCGCACATTTTCTCAGCATATTGGGATCCAAGTGCGGTTTTCCTGGTTGGGCTGCGTGTGGAGCATTTCTTCCATCAAGCCTTGGCCACGCACTACTGCGGCAAATAGAGTCAAATTATTTGCTTGAGTCTGGCTCCCATCTGCAGCAAGCTTGAAATAAGAAACAAGAAATTAAATAAGTCAAAATGCATTTATTGAGCTTTTGCCACGCACTACTGTGGGCATCTTCAGGAGCTGAAAATCCCACAGCAATTTGTGAAAGTGAACGTACACACCGACATGAGGCTGTGAAGAGAGAAGACGAAGGGGAAATGATGGCCAAAGCGAAGAGGAGAGCAGCTGTTGGGGCCAGACGAGGCTCCGCGGGTCGTGTGGATGCAGCGCGCGGCCTCTCGCTCAGACGGGAACCACATGCCAGGGGAAATGAAGCCCATGTGCCGTGCCAACCCCGCGCTTAAACAAGTCCTCCTGTGTGTCTCGCATCAAAGAAAGTGCTACAGATCGGGATCACATGCTTGACTTTAAATGCAAAAATAACATGAAACAAGGTATATCTGAGCCCCTTGTTTGGAGAGAAAGCAGTGGGTTGTGGTGGCTGATCAAATATGGCGCCATTGTGGCTTTGCTGTAATAAATATGGCGCTTGAGGGCACGGGGAGACACCCCTCACCTCTGGGGGTCATGGGCAGTTCAAACCCTTTGCTGTTCTTCATGAGCCGTGTTTTTTTTATGGATAAATGTACGACATGCATTGAGCACAGACTGTTACACCCTCAAAGTACAGTATTTATCACTTATATGTTGTGCTATTGCTTGTTTTTATCGGCGGGTTTCCAATAATTTTCTTTCCTGAAAAGTAGTTTTGGTTATTTTCCATATTATAGTGTTTTTGGTTGACAACATGCAAGTAGTGTTTAAAGATTAAATATAAAGAATGCTGGAAACGGAGCAATGTGTGAAGGGAATCATAACTGGCACTTTGAATCTGCTCATATGATTATTAAAGATTTTGCATGCCCTGATACGTGAAGGTTGTTTTGTATTGTGTTACCAATTACCGTTTTAATTGCACCCGTGTCATCACAAATTATCAGATTGTAGCAGGAAGTTTGTTTCACTGGCTCACGCCAACGGCTGCTCTGCCGTGCGTTCTTGCTCTATCCATTCCCACGTGTATGGCAGAGCTCGTGGGAAATAGAGAGCAGAAAGACATAATCAGAATACACACAAGTATGTAAACATGGATAAAGCAGTCCTTCAGCAAACACTAACAGTGTGTACGTTTGTGTACCGTTGGTCTTCATGTGTAAACATTTTTATAACCATCATAAAATTTTCATAATCCATACAGTCGTTCCAGGGTACGGTGTTTTGTTAACATTTTACTACACTCACGAATTGATGATGATAGTAGTAGTATGTCTAGTTTCTCATTCATGTGTCTGGGTGTGTGAATGTGCCAATGCGCCCAGTTGTGCCGATGTTGTGTGTTTAGTAAAGGAGGAGAGCCACAGTACAGACACTCCTGGGACCGTGGGGGGTTGTTGCATTCCTCCTTCATCCACCACCGCCTCTCGTGGCCCTTCTCAGTCGGCCCCAAAACAAACGGCGCTTTTATAAATGTGACTTGATGATGCTGCTGCTGCTGCTGCTGCGTCGGCAGCAGTGCATAAGCACAAATAACACACTCGACACACACATCAACAACACTGGCCTTACATTATTAATAGGCAATGGCCCTTTTTGATAGAATATGTGCTATGTGGTTGACACGTGTGTTGAGAGTTTTGTAGAATTGTATATGTTGGTGAGACTGTTGGTTCGTGGTAATCTACTTCAATGTCTATCCACACAACAAATATAATTTGGAGTTACTCGTATTCAGTTTACAAATGCATGTGTCAGGCGTCAAAACAGTTTTTTTGTCAAATTTAACTAAAATTCTCTCCGCACAAAGTGCACTTTGCAAGAAACAAATTTTACGTGCAGTGTCATGCGAAGCCAGCGGGTCACCAACCTCCCTGGACCCGCGCAGTGTCACTGTCAACCTTCATAACAATTTGCAGCCACTGCACAACAATAAAATGTATTTCAAAGTTAAAACTACTCAAAAGCACCATGAAATAATCATTTAATAGCCCCAAATCGATAACCTTCCTTTCTAATGCCTGATTGAAATAGCGGTCTTGTGGACCACAATTGGTGTGCGTACCATGGGTTGAGAACCACCGCCCTAAACAATTGCGAATATCGATATCTTACGCTAAAATATAACAATGTGTGAACGCGAGCGATAACAGTGGCACGCTAACAATGTGGGGGGTGGGGTGCCGATTTGCTGTGCGTGGGGCGCAGGAGAGGCTGCCCCTCGCTGTCATCGGCAGCAATGTGGTGGTGGACGTGGGCGGCCGCAGGGTGTGGGGGCGCCACTACCCCTGGGGAGTGGCCGAAGGTAAAGCTCAGCTCGGCTCGGAGCTGCTCTCCTGAGTCGATGTTGCGATACCTGCGAGTGGGTTAGTGGTGCTGGCTTAGTTTTAGCAAAATAATGACACGTGGTCTTCTGTAACTGAACAGTCTGACCCTCTGACAAGCGACCGAGAACATTATACATTGCTGCAGTTTACCATTAAACAACCGGTGAAGTTCCTGGCATTCTGCCTGTCCTCGCCTGGGTATTTTGGCCGGCAAGAGTCGGTGCGTGGGTTATCCTATGGACCACATGTCCGGCCAGGTGGCTCGGCAGTAGAGTGAGCGGCTTGCAATTGGAAGGCTGAGGGTTCAAATCCTGGTTGGGGATTCACTCGGCCCATCATACCTCTGGGGTTGGTAAAATATGTATCTGTGTGTTGGGAGATCAACAATGGTTGTCCTATGGATAGACTTGCTCCTGCCATTGGAATGTGGTATTACCACCACTGGCCAAGGGCTGTCAACAGGAGTTGAGTACTCTCTTAAGCTTTGTATAAAGGATGCGTGCTTTAGGATTTCAAATGTGTTATCAACTTGAACACATGGAATGCCCACGTGTCTCCCTGCCAATGACACTCGTCTACTTTGTTGTGGTTTTATTTCCGTCCATGGTTCTGCAGTGGACAACGTGGAGCACTGCGATTTCACCACCCTGCGCAGAATGCTCATCAGGTGAAGTTCGTGGACTCTACACGAATTATTGAGCAACAACATTTCACGAATGTCGACAAGTTGTGCTTTAATGGTCTCTTTTGTGTGCTACGGTGGCAGGACTCACATGCAGGACCTGAAGGACGTGACGAACAACGTTCACTATGAGAATTTCCGCAGCTGCAAGCTGGCGGCGCTCACAGGCAACGTTGCCGAGAACAGCAAGAGCAAGAGCCAGCTGACCAAGTGAGTGGGACCCAGCATGTGCACAAACACAGCCCTCGTATCAGTCCACTTCTGGGTGAGCACTTCCCGACATCTTGCTAATTGTGGGGGTTTATTTGATCGTACATTACCACGCTTGTCAGTTTGGTCCCAAAGCCTCTTGCCTCTTGAATATTCTGCCTTTAGCCATATCATCGGTGGACGCGTGGACTGCACGTTAGCATCGTGTATATGGTTGAGTCGGTGTTTTTGTATGATGCGACTTCAGGGGTGCTGTGTGCCCCCACCAACGTTTAGAGAAAATGATAAATGTATGTAATCTCTCTTCCAACTCGGTTAACCCCTTCTTCATCTCTCTGCTCTAGGAGCCCCCTGGCACAGATGGAAGACGAGAAAAAAGACCACAAATCTAAGATGAAGAAGATGGAGACAGAGATGGAGCAGGTGTTTGACATGAAAGTGAAAGAGAAAAAACAAAAGCTGAAAGACTCTGAGGCAGAGGTATGTGCTTCAAGCCGCATGTTCCTGTGTAGCTGGCCTGCCCCCGTCGTGCGTGGATATTTTTCCTGGATCCATTGAATCACTCTCCCTTTCCACCTTGGTCACTTCTAACTTGGGGAAATGTTAAAGGCTAAATTTGATTCAGAATCAGAGAAATCCGATGTCCAGTAAATCCAAAAGTTAAAGGGACGTCCTGCTCAAGTGAGCATTGAGGTGGTGCTTATCTCATGTCTACAGCCCTGAGCCAGCGATGGAAATTCCATATTCTTAGTCTCTCCATTGGAGAACCACTGTTGACTTCCTCAGAAAATGGTACCCTATCTTATCGATCCCAGAAATTATGATGGGTCCAAGAGGAATGAATGATGGTCTTAGTCAATCCCCAGCCAGGATTTGAACTTTAAAAATTCCTATTGCAAGCCGCTTGCTCTAGCAGTAACCCACCTGGGTGGATAGATCGAAATATTTTATTGGTTCAGTGATTCGTAAGCTCTGGAGCGTATTATTTGGAGTAGTGCATGCTTTTCTGATTCCAAGAATAATAATAGTAATAAGAATGTGTTGCAGCGTGTACTCCTGCCCTGCTGCTGCTGCCTTCTCAGTTACAGCGCCGCAGCGAGCAGATGAAACGCAGCCTGGAGAGCCAGCTGCGTGAGCTGGAGGAGCGGCGCAGGCAGTTTGAAGAGGAGCGGCTGGCTTGGGAGAGCCAGCAAAGAGAGCTGGATCAGCAGCGTTTGGATAACAGCAAGTACGCATGCATATTAGCACGGTTGACTACGTACGGTGCGAAATAAGTTCAACGTGTATATATATCCAGGCACACGTGTTCTTCAGTATGCGTGTACAAGTGCGAGCGTTAACACGCACGCAGGCACGTATGTGAGACACAAATAAACATGGTGACATGGCCTTGTTGCAGAGGTTTGTGGTTCGTGTCTAGCAGTCCTCCCTGATTAATATGTGAATTAGCCATAACATACGATGCACCAGGGGCGGTTTCTTCATTAGGGCGATTGGGCGACGCACCACCAATGTCATTGAACCACAGAGTCACGCTAGCCGTCACTGCAGCCTCTGGATATAGTCCAATCAGCGTCATGTCACGTTCTGTGGAGTACCGCCTCTTTTTGGGCGATTTCACTCCGGCTGAGAATCGCCCCGAGTGGCCCCATAGACTTACATTCAAAGATGTTTTTTTCGAACGGGGGCGCTCCAATGCATTTTCTATGGCTTCCGGGAGGGCGAGCCCTAACGTGCTTACGTCATCATACGTGCTAACGTCATCATACGTGCTAACGTCATCATACGCAAGCACGTTTCATCCAACAATATAATTTATCGCCACCTAGTGGAATCTTCTTCTTGGTTTTTTCGGTAAAGTCACGTAGAAGGGAAGTAATAAAATAATAAAAATAAAACATAATAAAATTATTCTCACGAAGTTTCGGCCACAACGCAAGTTATTCTCACGACGTTTCGGCCACAACGTTCCACTCACTGGCATGGTGCAGTGTGCAGAGTAATGTATGGTATCGTAATTGTATAGTAAATATATAGCAGTGTGATACACATTAGGGTGGGTAGAATAATACATAGTGTTATATTAAAATGGATAAGGCAGCAACTGCAGCAGCAGCAGCAGCAACTGCAGCAGCAACTGCAGCAGCAGCAACTGCAGCAGCAGCAGAAACTGCAGCAGCAGCAGCAACTGCAGCAGCAGCAGCAACTGCAGCTCCCTTTGATGCTGTTAATCCTGCATAATGCACATGCATATGCAGTACTAATCACATTCCTGCATTTCCCATAAATATGCTAAATTCCTCTTGATATGCAAATTCCTTTGTCAAGGCGCCCAGCTTATATATATGCTCCAAGCTCGTGTGCTGTTTCATTCAGACTCTGTCGCCTCGACGGACCTGGTTTTCACCTGAGGACGGCTGCTTGCGTTGTGGCCGAAACGTCGTGAGAATAATTTTATTATGTTTTATTTTTATTATTTTATTACTTCCCTTCTACGTGACTTTACCGAAAGAACCAAGAAAATGAATCCCTGCAGTCACGAAAGTTTTAAATCAAAATCTAGTGGAATCTTTAATAAAATAAACTTGAGTGGTTTGTTTTAATAGTGAGTATAGAAACAAACAAGATGTATTGTAAGAGTCACTTTATTTTTCATTAATATTAAAGAAGTGAAGTTGCCTTTACATGCTTAAGCTGTTAATTTATCCATTGCATGGGTGGACCTTATCCTTATCAATCATCCAGACATTTGCCCCCCCTGAGAGATTTTGCAGGAGCCGCCACTGCGATGCACCATTTGCTTCACAGCGAATGTAGAAAATCCCATTATGTCATTGTGTGCTGGCATCGGGGTCCATTTTTTTCAAAGATGAAAATGACTGCAAACTACCTAATTGGGAAACACGTCGCCCCCGACTGCTAAAACGTAGCAGGACCCTCATGAAAAATAATCTTCAAACTCAGTGAAACTTCATGGGTAAATAGGTCTGTGATCTAATGTAAAAAAGATGTGTGTAGATCTGCACACCAACACTGAACACCTGAACACATGTACCACGGCTAAAACAGGAGTAGACCATCACCAGAATATGCAAAATACACAGGGACACAACGCATGAATGCAACACAAGCTGCTGTACCCTTGTATACACATCAAGCGTAGTCACGGCCAATTGTGCTGAAGCAACAATTCTGTCCCTGTCTTCATAACAGGACCATGGAGAAGAACAAGAAAAAGGGAAGGATCTTCTAAAAAAACCTCAATCATGAAAGCAGATCCCACAATACGTCCCTTGCACCCAGCCTCGGTGGTCCTGACGTGTGCGGTTCAAACCCTTAAGAGTAAAGGTGGGGGCAGCAAAGGGCTTGGCCAGAACTACGCCCTCGGATGTTGCAGTGACTTACGGAACCCTCACAGTACTCGACTATCCCTACACTGCAGAGTGAACGTGTTATGTTAACCATCGGCAATTATTGTTTTTTGTATTATAGGCCTTTTTACAACCAACAAGCCATTTCAGCATAGTTAATTTAGAGTGCTTTTGAAGAGCCAAATGTGTGATGTATCTCTTACTGCCAAGGTTTCGGTGATGTTTTGTATTCAAGCCGCTCATTTTTAATTGTTTTAGTCGACACATGCTTGGTCATGTATGGGCGCATTTTTTTGTTATTTCAATAATTTACAGTATTTTGTAAAGTTTTTAACCATGTTTACCATGTTTTATATGCATTTGCATTTCGCTGTAACATATTTGCTTAGTTTATTCTCTGTAAAACTTGGCATCTGTACTGTGTGTAGCAAATGCTGTGCGCTGCACCGGACGGCACGGCGCACAGCACGAGGCTGCCTGCCTGGAGGAGGAGGATTCCGTAATCTTCCGTGAGCAGCCCTGTTCTATTTTTGACATTGTTGATGCATGTGATGTTGGGGGTCCGGTAGCCAGCCATAGGGTGATACTAATCATTGTTGTTATTATCATGACCGTCAGTATATTTGTAGTGCGATGGTGGTTTTAAAGCTGTCCTTGCACCAATCCACACGCCACATTATCGTGTGTGCAAACCTTCAGAGATGAATTACAATATATGCATCACACATTCATTACATTATGGACATTACAAACTATGATCCACAGTCGCTAGCGTGAAACCCACAGGTGTTGGTTTTCCAGTCGTGCACAATACAAGTTGCTTTGGACATCGGTGACATTGCCTGCATTGCTGGTATCACAAAGTGTGTTGTCTGTTGCCTGCATTGCCCTTGCTAACCCGGTCTGGTTGTAAAATAAAGCAAAGCACAGCCAATTTTACTCACCACATGAAGTACACTCACTGGGGCTAGCTGGGCATCTGTACACTTTTCCCACTTTTCCTGTATTCGGTAACTGCAAAGATTGCTGTTTAAATCTACTAAACAATCCCACATTAAAAGCACTGTCCACCATTACAGGTGTTGCTTCGTTGTCGTGTGTAACTGCGTCTGAGCATGTGGAGCCCACATGCTCATGGGTGGATGAGACTGGACTGGTGGCACCGGTGGCACCGGTGGCAAGTGTAGTTATGAAGGCTCTCCTCCACCTTTTACCCACCCCGAATGTGGCTTGCTGCTGTACCGTAAGTGCCTGGGTGACAACAACGTGACGGGCAGGGCAGGTAGAAGGTTCAGAAGAGAGGATGCCGACTGCTGCTTGGCTTCTTTGGTCTTCGTGGTCACGTGCAGGTCGTCAAAGGCAAATGGTTTTCAGCCTTCAGACGGCCCTGCCGCACCTGGGAGTTGATGAGTAAAACGTGTCTCCGCACAGAACTCGCGGCTCGTGCTGCCACACGGCGGTAAATATCCTTAAGGAATGAACAGTAGTCAACTGGCAACAAGCAGGTTCCACGTACATTCACCACGTTATGTGCTGTGCCGTCCAACATGCCTCGCAATATTTAGCGCGTATGCATTCGTCTTCGTGAAGTCATGTTAAAGCTGCCGCACGCTTTTCGTAAAATCAAAGCGACTAACCCCGGGCAAAGGTCGCGTGTCCTGTGCAGAGCTTCAGTGCAGCAGCTGCACACACTGGGGGGGGGGGGGGGGGGGCTGCTGCTGCTGCTGCACCCGCTGGGGGCTGCTGCTGCTGCCGGAGCCGGAGCCGATGGCCATGGGCTCGCGGCTGCCCCCCGCACGGCCGCGTTGGCGGGGTGGATGCCTCGCCCATCGCTGCACTCGTTGGTAAAGAGAGCATCGAACGATACCCTATGCATATTATTAATGAATGCACTCAAGTGTTCGAAGTATATCCTATTGTCGATGTTTCATCAACAGATATTTAGAATGCCACTGTCGGAGTTGAGCTTACATTTTTTTAAATATATGTAGTGACAGAACGGTCACTACTGTGTTGGCCCGTACGAGGGCTGGGGGCCCCAAGGGGGTGCCTGGGGGGTCACGTGCTGGAGGGATCCGGACCTTCCCAGAGGTGGGGGAAGGGAGGCGTGGCCTGGGAAGGGAGGCGTGGCCTGGGAAGGGAGGCGTGGCCTGGGAAGGGAGGCGTGGCCTGGGCGGAGCCGGCCACGCCAGAGAGACGAGATATAAGGGTGGTGTGAAGGCAGAGCAGGGCTGTTCCTGAGAAGAATGAAGACACCTCGTGAAGATGCCAGAAGAGAAGACCTAGAGTGAGCGGACTGCCAGCAGCCACCTGGCTGGGTCACGCTGGAGCGGCTAAAATACAATTGTGTGTTAGCTAGTGTAGGTCGGTGGTCACCACCCTATGTGTAGAGTAAGAGTAACTGTTGGGTAAACGTTGTGTTAATTAATAAATGAGTGTTGCCTCCCAAGAAGTGTGTGCGCCTAAATTGAACCCATTACATATATATACAAGTAAAATTAATATTTTCTCTCTGAGTAAGCTTGACGATCTGCTGGTGCTGCGTCTCGTGTCCTGCTTGCTATGTTGTCCACGTGTCCCTGTCAAGAAACTGACTGCATTCTTCTGAAGTCGCCTTCGCTGGGATTAGAAGCTGAACACTATTCTAGACTTCTAGTTATGTTTTGTGTTAGGCTTTGTAAAAATGTACTGCTTATTTAACACGACTCCGCTTCAACAGTCTGCGTCCAGTGTTTGGATTCGTATTTGTGCAGAAATGACCACCTACCGTGGTCAAACTCTTGAGTCCCTGGTTGACATGAAGAAGCGTCCTGTGCAGTTGTCAATTGACACCGTGGGCACGTAGCTTGGTGTTTGTGCTTGTACCGGTCTGCTGAAAGCCCCTCGGGCCATTGATGTGACGGCGGCTTTGATGACGCAATTGCCACGTGCTTTTCAGCCGCTGCAAAGTCCACTGGTCATGCTGCAGGTACCCACTGGCGTGTGCGCGCAACATTACAGGTGTCTGGCTTCGGCAGAGACTCGACACATTCGGGACCTTGACTGCGGTGTAAAGTAATGTTTGGGGTCCAACACGAGCGGCGCCAAGATGACGAAACCCACCGTGTGAGTGCAATGGCGGTCGACGTGGCAGCCGGCAGGTGGTGCTGTGTGCCACCTCGACCACTGCCTTTGGCTTCGCAGCCACAAATGAGCGATTCCCTTGTATTTAATCAATTGGGGCCACAGTTGAAAATTGGGAAAGCTCGCTCATCAAGAATGGCACCATCTGTGGGACTTGCTGCAAGGCCATAACCAAATTGTTGTTATTATTACAATTTAGTTGTGTACATTCTAACTGATGAAATTACGTTTAATGCCAATTGTGCTCATGGGCATCATGTCACGAGAACTGAATCTATTTATATATCTCAGACCAGTGTATTGGATAACAGGTGTTTGTAGGACGTGTTTTTTGCCGAACTTATCTCAAAATCCTCAAGTAGCGTGTTTATTCTTTATACAGTGGAGGCAACAATTTTCTGTACATTCTGCTTAGGGATTTATTGCATGACAGTCTCACCAACATTTAATTCGCAGAGCTCGAGTTTTGCCAAATCAAGTGTACATTTTTTTTCCACTTTGTTTTTGTGCAGTCATTGGCAGTCAGCCTGAGCCCACTTGAGCATCCAGTTTACTCATAAAGCTTTCTGAATTAGGTTTAACAACACAGAGAAGTGTATTATTGTATAGATGGAAGGCAAAACCGATCATGCCTCGGGTGCGTGTCACGTGACTATATTGAATGTCCACCGCTCTAATCAGCCATTGGCTAAGCCAGAAGCTGAATGTCTGTTTACCTCACCAAGCCAACACGAGTTGAAGAATGTGGTCATCCCAACAGCCTCCTGTAGATTTCATCCCAGGATCTCGGCGGTCCTCACCGAGTGATCTGAACTCTGAGTCACCAGGCCCCCACAAGTGTTGAAACGTACTCAATGATGCTATGCTTTACGAAACATTCATGAATATTGTTTTTTTTATGTCAGTAGTGTGACTGCCATACTGTGGTAGTTGAATGAGAAGTCATTCCAGGAAAATAATTCCCTGGTAACTTGGAATGGTTTTGATGGTGCTAGATCCAGGGTCTTGGACAATGTAGAGAACGGCTTCTCCTGGAGAGAGAATGCAGTGAGAGAAACTGCCTCAGGAGGGCAGCAGAACACACGCACAGCAGCATAAGTAAGCAGTCATTGTACCACAATTGGGCAGGCGTTGGGTCGTCGCCACGGAACATGCTGTGTCGTTTCTAAAGGAAGATTCCCAATTATGGAGCGGAACATTGGAAATGCTCCCCATAGCCACGTGTCAAGCTTTTTGTTTCCATGCAAAAAACATTTCCCTTGACACAAGTCAGTTTTGTAATGCCCGTCCCGTAGGTGACGCCACAGCGTGATGTCCTGCGCAAATTACCATTGAGGCATTGGTGCTCATCTCTTGTTTACTGCCCTGAGCCAGTGCTGGAAATCCCTCGTTCCTATGGCGGCAGCGATTTATCCATAGGGCAACCACTGGACTCCTGAAAACGGTACATTGTTTTCGACCAGGATTTGAACTCACAACCTTCCGATGAGCTCGGGCTACCGCTGAGCCACCTGGGTGGATCACAATACACAGGTAACGCAAGCAGAGTTACACTCACGTGAGATGACGTCGACTAAAACAGGTTTACTCAACCAGGTAAAGCTCGTTCCGCCTGTGTGGTAAGACAGTGCCCAGTCAGTGACGCAGCCTGCCTCGCCTTACCACGTGGTCGAGAATTACAACCACAAGCACCGAATTGCTTCTCAGATCCACTGCTGGGGTTTCCCTGTTTACTGCGCCACACCCATGGACATTGAACCCACATCAACACGTCCCATAAAGAGTTTCCTCAACTCTCGCCTACAGCCATACACATGGCACTTAAACGATTACAAATTTCCCATGAAAACGGATTATCTGCGATGCCGCGCTGCCTCTGCACTGCGCGTCGATTGGTAAACGGGAAGAGATGAGCACGGAGAAGCGATGCCTGATCATCACGGCAACCAGAGGGTCACGAGCTTGAGACGTGGAGGAACTTTCAGTTCCACGTTGTGTTTACACATTGGTTTGATGTTTTTACATGTTGGTAAATGCCCATAACATTAGTAACATTCGCATAGTCAAGATTCATCTCTGGTTTGGCCTCCGGGCTGCCATTGCGTCCACGGGCCCTGCGTAATAGCCAAGTGGCTGTTGACTGCTCAGCAGAGGGGCGATCGGGTCTGGCACTGATCCCGTTTTCCTGGCAACAAAATGCTCCCTGTGAGATCAGGGATGGCCTCAGGGGTTTGTGTTGAATCTTTGTTCAACAGAAAACCCGCAAGAGCAGAATACAAGGTTCGCAGAGCTGCATGACAGAATCAAACTATTTGTGTATACTGGAAGAATCCGATGAGCTAGTGATCTGTTTAACACCAATGCCATCCACAATGTAGGTTTTTTTTGGGTTAGATCGTATAAATATATGATCTATAAATACAATTTTCACACGTCTCGAAGGGGCGGGTCAGAAGATTACAACAACCAACAATACAAAACACGATTGGAGTGCAAAGTATAGGAAAAGTAAACCACTTTGAAATATACAAATACAATTAAACTGTTATCTTATTCTTTGTGTCTTTCGGTAAAGTCACGTAGATAGGTTGTTATTTTCTTTCAACCTATCTACGTGACTTTACCGAAAGACCCAAAGAATATGAATTCCTGCAGTCACGAAAGCTTTAAGTCAAGATTATTATTTTTATCTTATAAGGTCAAGCCCACTGACCAAAATGGCTTATTTTTCAGAAGCGACCTGGCCAACAAATGATAGCTCAACATTGTGGCTTATCATATGGAAATTAATAGCAGCAAAATAGTCTAAATGCATGTTCCTAAATGTAGAGGGGAAAACCTGAGGACTCGGAGAAAAAAACCCACGCCACCACGGGGAGAGAAACACACAAAGTCCAAATATACAGCAGGCGTTAAGGGTGGGCATCGAACCCCTGACCTCCTGCATACC